GTTCCTTGTGGCTGCCCCTGGCTGGATCCTGGTGGCCATGGAAAAACTGGTCCCCATCACCCCCTCTTCCTCCTCCTCCTTCTCCTCCTCAAGGGAGCCCACCCAGCGCAGCTGGGCCAGGGGGAAGCCCCCCAGCCAGCGGCACCGCAGGGCCACATCCTGCAGGTCTCCCGTGGCCAGGGCAGAGCAGCTGGGGCTCCCGGCTGGTGGATCTGCAGGAGACCATCAGCGCTGGGGGAGGCTGGGGGCTCCCCCCCAACCCTCCTCGAACTGCCCCTCGCACCCACATCCTCACCAGGGAGCTGCGTTGGTCCATCTCACCCCGGGGGGCCCTGCCGGTCCCCCCTCCGCGGGGTTACTTACAGTACACGGTGAGGACGATGGTGGCCTGGGTGCGGGTCTGCAGGTGGGTGTTCTCGGCCAGGCAGGTGTAGGTGCCCGCCTGGGCGCGGGCGATGGCGGCGATGACGTAGGTCTGGCCGACGTGCACCTGGGTACCGTTGTGCAGCCAGACGTAGCGGCTGGGGGGGTTGGAGGGAGCCAGGCAGCTCAGCACCACATCCTCCCGCTCGCCCGCGGAGAAGCCCCCCTGTTCGGGGGAGAAGGGCTCCACGCTGATGGCCGGCTCGTCGGGGCCGTCTGCGGGCACACAGGGGTCCTTTAGCCACGGGGTTGTCCCCACAGAGGGGACACAGCCCTTCCCGGGGCAGCCTCCTCTTGGTGGGAAACGGGGCAGCGAAGCCTCCTTAGAAAGGGCCCACTTATGGGGGTTGGTGGCCAGGGACATACTGTGGTGCTTGGTGGCCACGGATGTGCCATGGTGGCCTTGGAGGTATGGAGGTAGCAAGGTGCATGGTTGTCATGGACACGCCTTGGTAGCATGGCACACGGTGGTCACACAGTGGCCGTGGCGGCCATGGACAGGCTATGGTGGCCATGGAGGCATCATGGTGGTGGGGCATACAGTGGCCAGGAATACTTCACAGTGGCAACATGCCACACCATGGTAGCCATAGACACATTATGGTGGCCATGGAGGCATTCCAGTACGTGATGTCCATGGACACACCATAGTGGTTATGGATACACTATGGTAGCTATGGATGTGCCACAGTGGCAGGGTGCTTGGTGGCCATGGCCATGGCGTGGACATACCATGGAAGCATCATGGTGGCCACAGACATGCCACGGATGTGCCATGTTGGCATCTCTCGCCCCAAAGATGCCCCCCCAGCTGGTGGCTGAGGACCCCCGTGAGGGTGGTGCCCGGGGCACTCACAGACGATGTCCAGGTAGACGGGCTCGCTGGTGTGGCTGTTGACCTCGTTGCTTGCGGTGCAGAGGTACCAGCCCGTGTGGCTGCGGTTGGCGGGTGTCAGGCTCAGCTCTGCCCCGGAGCCCCTCAGCCCCACGGGGGACACTGAGGGACCCCCYCGGGGCTCCTGGTGCTGCCAGGAGAAGCTCAGCGGCTCC